CATGTAAAACAGATATAATCAATATAGATATCTGATTAGAAGCTTTTTCATCATTTGCAATCATCGCCGCAGGTGGTAGTGGGTTACCTAGCGAGAGAGTTCGGTCCATGCGAAGTTCTGGTCAAAACAATTCGAAAGGAGCAAAAGCTCATGGACTTCTCCTCAATCTTAAGAGAAGCGATGTACGACAACGTCGAAGTAGACTGTGAAGAGGATGAAGCTCCGGATGACCGCGAAGCGGACCCGCTTATAAAAACGCGTTGATCTGCTCTAGCTATTGTTTCAAGCTATCAAACAAGTTGCTATTAGTGTTTCCTTGCCTTAGGAACCTTCTGGATACACACATTAAACAATTTGTAAAATGCAAAAGTCGTGACTGCAAAGGGGATCCAAACTCTTGACCTCTTGCTCCATAGTCTCCGCAGCCCTCCACTCGGCCATCTGTCCACAGTGCACTTCCTTGGCGCCCCAAACTCAAAGCCGCATCCTAGGTAAGCCATCGTCCATAACTTTTCCCAGAAAATCATTGAGCAGCTAAGGATCACGGATTTGGCATTAGGGCCCCAGGAGCGGCAGAATGATATGCACCATGCGTGAAAACCCCACTTCGATGAATGATCCTTCCGTTGTTAGATTAAAATTAAAGTCAGAACTTTAAGTTCTGACTTCCTTTAAAACATGTGATGTATGTCTACGTACTGAGAGAGGTTTAATAGAATGAGGAGAGCATCTGACAACTGGATTATCTTTTGCTATATGCAGTCTGAATATGGAAACGTTTTTTTTGAGGTTGGTTGTTGCTAAGTGATCAATATAGTAGTAAAGTTCCACAATGGAAAAGATGAGGCAGAGGCGTCAAGTGCAAAACTGAAAGTATAATGGCACGCCTACGCAATCGATATCGACGAAATCGATAGGTCATGATGCCCACGGTAGACCAAAACTGCGCTATTTTGACAAATTCTTTGTTTTATTAATGCTTAAATGGTGTAATTTCTAGACGGTAAGGTTAAAAAGTCCCTTCACTCAGTTTTTTGACAATAAATTCTTCCGAAGTCTTCCTTGCTTCCTACTTCACTTATTTCCAACCTTCCCAGCTCCAAAGTCCTGGGGAATTTCCCTCATTTCTAAGTGCTCGGGAAGTACTGCATTTGAGGAAACTTCCCGAGGGTTTCCTCGGGAAGTTCCCAACTTCATTGCTGTTGACGTCACTGTTTTCGGGAGGTTCCCATTTTTTCGCCTTCTTTCAGCTCAGTACTAAATCAAGCCCTCGGAAAGTTTCGCAAATTAGCTTGTCCTTGGGAAGTTCCCGTGATTTGTCTGAGTGATACAAGATCTTTGCTTTGCTTGGAAAAATCATCATAAACAGGTGAAAATGTCTGCAAAAATAGGTTCGATAGTTCGAAGGTTCTTTGCAATAGCGGCTCTATTCTTTGTTTTTAAGGCATTTAGAAGAAGCATAATATTGTTAGCGATTGGTCTTCGGTTACGGTAAGAAATCAAATTCCATCCTGCAACGAATTAACTCGAAGAAATGACATTTACATTATATAAATTCACCTGTTCCAGCTCCTTTCAGACTTTTTAGTAATTCTAATTCGCTTTGCAAATTATAGAGAACCTCTATTATTAGATCTGCTAGAGATAATTTTTACTTGAAAAATAAATTTCTTTACTCATATTCAATTTTCCAAACCGAAACATGGTTTTTTCTATTTCTTGAAGAAGGTGGCTTGCTTGACTTGAATGTACATATTTCATGGACCGCACTCATTTTATGTGCACTCGCATGATATATTTTATATATAATGTGTACGCAAAAAGGTCCCACGCAGAATTTATGAATATGGCCATTCCTAGCTACCTTGCAGTTTTGAAAATGCATTTGCTAGTCTTACTCAAAGGAGGCTCGCGTCTTTGACTTTCCACAACTATATTACAAAATCCTCTAATATAAAGCGGCGCAGATTTTAAAATGCAAGAAAATACACACCAACAGATCACTAGTCCTCAAGTTTTCTAATGCTGTATCTTTTGCAGCTTTGAGGTTTTTACTTCGCATTTTGCAACAGAAACGAAAGCTTCAACCTAAGGTTACGCAAAAAGTCGCTTGATTCTTCATGCTTTCTTTTCCTTTTCTTGTTACTTGATCTCCAGTTGTATACAATGTTATGGTAAGTAGTTCGTTGTTAATGAAGGCATTAGATAAAATACCAAAGATTATTCTTTCCATTGATGTTTCGAAAAAAAAGTGTCAATCAGGCATTATCATTTGTGAGAGTTTGCGTTTAGCATTTGAAAATATCTCACTCAAAAAACCTATACGCCTTTCGAAAAATTGCAATTGAAAGCTTAACATTAGCGACTTACGGTAGAGCTAGCACTTAGTAGTGTTGGTGAAGAGAGCACGGCAATGCAGATCTCGTGCGGATTGCGGACATTGCCGCGACGCGGTCCCACCTGTTTGCCTCTCTTGTCAAGCTCTCTCTGCAATAAAATGCGCAAGTTCTTCGTGTGCGCTGTGAATTTTGTTATTTTTTGAAATAGTTTGCGAGGCTTGCTGTCTTTATCTACTATCCGTCAGCAGACCATGGATACTACAAATTCCACCTATAACAACGCTCAAAGCCCTGCAGCACACCTAGGCGATTCAACGCACGCAGAGACGGCGCGCTACTGCTCACGCTATCGGCGTCTCTCAAACTAAACGCATTCTCATTCCTTTAGCCGTCTATTGCCTCTCCTAAACAACACTACCTCGATCGGACGCAATAGCGTCTCCAGTCTCTGCGTGCGTTGAATTACCTATAGATGTAAAATATTTTTTTTCCTGTTTATTTTATTTCTAATATTTCATGATTCTGGACTTTCTCCAATGATCTGCACTACTTTAGAATGACGTGATTGCTAAATCTTATCAAGTACAGATACAAAATCGAATACAATTATTCTATTATGATGGTATTGTAGTCTAGAACTCCAACTGATCTGAAAGAGTACTTCACAGAATTTTATTACATAAATATTAGGTTGTTGCAAAAATAATGTCCGTTTTGCAAATTTTCACTTTGGAGGTCTATAACTTCGTTCAGTCTTCATATTTTTGAATGCAGTCAAGACCTTTAGAAACAGCAAACCTTTCGTAATTTAGCGCGCGCTTGCTCATACTGATATCGCAGTTGGGAAGAAAACCACGCGTTAAAAAGCTAAAAGTTTTTCTTTCGAAAGCCTCTTCTTCAAGAGCTTACAACTCCCTTCTAGTTTTGTTCATATGGCTGGCAATCAGCTTATTTTGTAGCAGCAGACCAAGAGTTTATGAGGGTAAAGAAAAGACTCCGACGAAAGAGTTCTGCGAAAAGAAAAGACAAAAATTCAAAAAAGTTCACTGTTCTAAGCATACTTGTTGTAGGCTTATAAGTGTCAAATTGGAAAAATTTGAAATTTTTCGCACAGTGAATAGCTGAGTTTTTCTTCAAATATTGTAGTTAAGGTGTGTTAATCTCAAGTATACAGAAATGGGCGAAGCTTTGGCGATTGCCTTAATTATGAGAAATTTCTGATCCATAGAATGCCGGCAGTGAGTACCTCTTTCGAGGCGTCCATTTCTCAGTCCAGATATCTCCAAAAATCCGCATAAGCACGCAGTAGGTAAACAATCTTCATCCAATAGGAATGCTATGTTTTCACAAGAATTCGATCATTTGCGCCTGAATTGTGGCCACGGAAACTCAAGCATCGAAATTTCAATTTTGAGTGCAGTTATGCGAGGTGCTGGTGAAATTCTCACAGATGAGGATAGCAGCCTATTTCCAGCATCGTTAGAAAATACATGAAGAGGGCTTTCAAATGATATGCAAATTTTATATCGAAAAAGAAAGTTTGATGGAAAAAAGTTGTTTGAAATACAAACCTAGAAAAAAGGACATTATTTTTGCAACAACCTAATACATTATTTGAATATTAGCCATTCGCAAAGTTTTCTTAGGTGCTCTGCTACAAGGTGCTATTTTATTTTGTAAAGAACGTAGCAGAAAGCTAGATCTTCGTTTTGAGCTTTCCAAACAGAACGCAATTACTCAGAATTTTCAAGCCTTTATTTCAACAGAAAAGTTTGAAATGTCTTCTATCCTCATTCATTTGAAAGAATTTTTAGAATAAATTCTGTTATAAGTTACGATTTAGGATGGTTTCACCGAATTTACTCCCTAATCAACTAATTGTATAAACTAATCCTTTACTGGACTTTGAATAATGTACCTCCAATCCTCCTGATCAACTACTAACCGTAAAAGCTAATCTCTAATCTTTTCCTGGACTTTCGAATATCACCTCCAACCCAATAAAATTCTATTCTTGACAAAGAGAATTTCAAAACAGCAGTGCTTATGCCTCTTTACAAACTTCTTTAGTAGCTTCCTTCCAAGGGCACAAGATCCGGCTCCAATTTTAGCAAGTTATTCGTTATTCTAAAGATATTCGTTATTCTAAATGTCATTTCCTTAGTCATTTCATCCAACAATGCCGCAGATGCATAATACGGACAAGAAGTCATCCTACATTCCTACGTCATTTGTTGCCCTCAATGAGATGTGGTCTGAACCGAAGCGTCATTCTCATGCATTTCAAGATTCACCGAGATGAGGGGGCTTTTTGGGGCTGCTGAAATCTAATGAGCCTAGTCACATTTGGCTTGGAAATCCTGCATCACAAGAAATAGTTTACTATGCAGCTTAGATTGCTTTGACTTGCTATTGTGTCGGAGGAAAGCGGAGGTATGAGTGGGGAAGGGGAGGGGTCGAATTTAGTTTTTTTCAAAATCTTTTTCTGCTCCTGAAGTTCACAGTTTTGTCTATTGCTTCCGCGGACTACAATAGCCGTCTCTACCTTCTGCTCATTCATCAAAGTTTATAAATTTTTGTGCCGTATATCTTACTCGTGTCTCGATTTAACGATCGCATAAATGATATTTTTCTAGCAAATATAATTTTTCTTTATTTGCAGGTAGTTGGAAACGATGTCGACGTTGACAAAAATCTTCGTGACCGTTGTAGTTGTAGCGTCGCTTCCGCAAACGTCTGCATTTAGTATTCGGGAGCTAATTAGAGGAGGAAAGCGTGGCGATTCATCAAGTAAGTCTGCTTGCTACTTGCTTTCTTCGAGCGATAACTTCAGACATAAGGAAAAAGTTGTAAGAGGGCAAACCGAATTGTGAAAAATTGAAAAATGAGTGAAGTTCTAGGGATAAGTTGCAAATAAGTCATACTATACGCCGAGGTTGTCGATATGCTGCGCACATTGTTGTCCTTTTTGAAATATGTTCATGGCTGGATTCAAAATTGTTTCGAAAAATTGAAAATAAGGCTAGTGAGCTCCTGCATTTTTCCCAAATTATCAAGTATCATCATCGTACCAGCGTAAATATTGATATTGAAAAAATTTTAGTTATGCATACGGCTTTCTAATTAGAAAAAAAAATGCGAGGGTCTACAAAAAAAAACACCATTGCTAGTGTTTGGAAAGACTATAATTATTATTGATATTTTGAAGTCAGAAATTATTAATCTGCCAAGGAAATGTAGCGTGCAGCTTAGGATTCATAAGTACATGCTAGATACAAAGGAATTTGTACAAGTCTGTAACCTCATTGAATCTCTCAAACCAAACATTCTGAGCCTTCACATCCCGAGTTTTGAAGGTTCTGCACAAGTATAAGCTTTATTTTCATGCTCAAAGCGTCAAATTCAGAAAATTAACGATCATGAAAGTTTTCAAATTACGAAAAGATCATGCAGCCGGCTTTAATCTCGAAAATAAAATTCATGTTCTTGTGAATAGCAGAATTTCTAGTAACAGACACCGCGAAATTTCCATGATTCAGGTTGAAGTTCTTTCGCGTTAAAGCGAAAGAGAGCTAGATCGGATCTGGTTTCACTACATATCATTGCTCCAAAAAAGATATTCAAACAAGAAATTTATCTCCATCAAGTGTTTGCCACAGTTTTTGGTAAATGAGACAGTCAAAGAAAACTTACGAAACTAGCTTTCAAATCAAATTTTTGATTAAAACCTGCTAGCTAACAGCTGAGATATTTCGTGCTAAATATTCAGTGTGTTCACCATACCTTATCATGAAAATTATCATCTACATTTTTTAGCGCCCTGTCCGACATGGCACCCATTCGAATGCCCCTCAGGGGAATGTGTACCGATCAAGTATCTATGCGATGGATCTCCAGACTGTTCAGATGAATATGATGAAAATAAGAGCATGTGCACTGCCGGTGAGCTTTTCTTTCTTCTTTTTCAAACAAAATTATTCTTTGCGTACATCATACGTTCATCATATCATTTTTGACAAGCAGAACGATAAAAACTCTAACCAAATATCGTCATTATGGTTTTATCGTAATTAAGAGTGGCACCGTTTGGAGTTTTTTTAACGTTTTTCTTTGATACTATGATTTTTTGGCACTTCCTCATATTTATATCATTTTTGACGTCTTTTGTCAAAGTACTAGAGTTCATTTTCTCACATTTGCTCAGCGACACCAGTAGAACGACTTAATTATGCTGGTATCTCCATAATGAGGCAAAAACCAAAAATCTAATGCCCTTCTTTACCTCTTTTTTGATCTCGTAATTCCCCTATAAGAATATTACCAGTGCCAAGATCCATTATAGCACTAATATTCCACCATATTAGTTCCTTCTAAAGATGATGTGCTGTGGCAGAAGTGCTAATCCTTTCACATTTCCGCTTCTGGCAAAAGATGAGGGACTTTTTCCACTTTCAGCCTTATTATGCTTTGTTTTCAGCCACAAGGCCTCCAGTAGAAGAGACATCGGCTTTCTTGAAAGCATTACTGACCGCCCATGGCAAAGACTTTTTGGTTAAGGTAAGTGTAAACATTACCTAGAACGACTATCTAGCTAGCTTGACGCGCTATTTGTCAAGAAATGGAATATTAAGTAGGTACTTAGCTGAATAATCAATTAGACATCTATCATACTTTATTGAAGGTCTTCGGTCCCAAGGCGAAAGATGAATTGGCTGGGATGGGGGGTGTGGATAAAGTGGCTGTCGCGTTATCACGTGAGTTCTATTTAATTTTGTGCGAATCGAGTGAAATCTACGTAATTTTGCAGAAATCCCAACAGCCGACTTATTTGGTGTGGAAATGAAATTTACGGAAGAAGAAACAGAACACATGATGGCTGTGCTTGATGGAATTCTAAATGGTTCAACGGATGAACTCACATCAAACGAAGCGGCAGATTTTCGCTTCTTCGTACAAAAATTACAGGTGTGTTCAAATGTAAAAATGCAATCGAAAGCAGAACCAAATATTTTGTTAAAAACAAACAAATTTTTTCTAAATTCAAACCAAGGCAGTTGTGAGCAAGTATTCGCACGCAAAAACTGTAAGCCGTTGCGTAGCTAATTGATATAGTTCGCATTTGGAAGAGAGAGCAGACGGTAAGAGAAATAAAAATGAGCTCCATCGGGGAGACGCAGACAGGTCTGCATCGGCATTCTATCTCTGCGTGTGATGACCCCTATATTGATATCCATCAACTCGGTAGCCAAAAAAATTGAAGGGCTTTCAAAAGATAAATGTTGATTTTAACTACTAATCGCCATTTATTGATACAAAATAACTCGGATAAAAACCATCAGTCGTTTAGATTATCATTTTTCCAAAAATTCCCATTTGCTCAAACTTCGCTTGAATTCTCTCTATAAAAATTGTCAACCGACTTTGTTGACTTACTGTTCGTGATAGTCAAAACCCTTATTTTTAGGAGACCGGATTCTTCTAACCAGCCACGATCAACAGCAATACATCGCAGAGTTTGACAAAAAGATCTCCGCAGCGCCAGTCCTGATCTCTTCTCGTTAGCGTGCCATCATCACATTTCTTCCTCGTCGAATCTCATACATACAACTACATAATTTACAACTGTATACGAGTTGTCAGTTAATAAATCGTTTACTGTTGTCAATTTGTCAATTTAGAATGAATTTTCTTCAGTGTTGTATGATGCATTGCTTGTAATTACAAGACATAAGATTCAAAAAAATAGTGGGATGTAGGATATCACCTTTTGCACTACCTCTTCGTCGTGAGACCCGTAAACGTGGGTTTACTGTATTTTTGGCGATCAACTAGTGCGAGGAGATCGACAAGCTTTTTTGCACACCGGCCCTACTGTAGACTGAGTAGAGGATGCCTTCCACGTCGGGACCCATCAGTGAGTCATTAGTTGTTCTCGGTAAGAAACAGAGGACATTATATCATCGAAAGGGGAGGTCCGGCGCGGATACTTGCAACAAGTGCGCACTTTTCACCATGACAATTTGTGGCTGCAGTCCGCGGGGGTGGAGCGTATTGACGACCTCTCGTCCTCTACCCCTCGGTAAGCTTTTTCGCACTCCAACCTAACTGTAGAATGAACAGTAAGAATGCCTTCCACGGCGGAACCCATTAGTAATTTAGCATTCTTAACGAACCAGGCGGATAACTACATGATTATCCATAGGTCTTTAAGGGGTTGAGGCCCTTTTGCACCACCGCCTTACCGAAGAGGCAGCACTGTAGAAATGCCCTTCGCGGGGGACCCGCTAGTGAGTCTAGTGTACAACCAGTGCGCGAAGAACGGAGCTATTATTCAGTGCCTCTACTGTAGTGTACAGTAACACATGTTTCCATGATAAATTCGGTCAGTAAATTTTTGAGAGGTAAAATTTACGGGTATCTACCTATCGGCAAGTTTTATCGGCAAGTCATTCACTTATAAATTGTCTAAAAGCGTAGAACTGAATACCTATTTAACTAATCCATATAAGGCCGAAGGAGATCTCTATCAAGGCAACAATCTTTGATAATACCTTTGCGGAACAATTTTATAAACAATGCGATAGCTCGGTCAAAATCCCAGCGATCTTCATAGGTCAAACCCGTCAAGCATCGCACTCGAAAGTCCTGAAAATACGACAAAATTTGTTGGAGTTGAAAAACACGAAAATGTGATTACCTTCTCTGTACAAATTCTAATAAGTAATTTGTCAATATCATCAGTAGGATTACCAGGAATTTCCAAAAGTTTCAAGTAAGAATAATCACCACTTCTGTAAAAGGTTATATTTATGTAGTTAAAAATTTAAACAAAATAAAAATTAGAAAACCAGACCTATTCAACCAGTACAGCAGATAATCGGCTACATATCTAGGGTTTGTTGCGCTTTCAAGGATTAAGTCACATAAAGCTAGCTTCATCACCTGAAAATGGGAAAGATGGCCTATTCTACTTGTAAATCCACAGTACATACTTCATTAACATTCCTTGTAGATGGCGATAGAACTCCCGGTGTATCCAGCACATACATAGGTGGTTTATCCAATACCCGTACTCGATTTTGGACGCGCACTGTTACACCAGGTCTAGCGCCTGGAAGTCCACAGATATTATACGATACAATAAAATATCCATGAAAAAAAATTTCCAGATATTGATGCTTGCTTCAAAGCTTTTCCCATTATCCAGACAAGAAAGATATAAAGACACATTCTAAAGGTGTGCTGTAGTGTCCAAAGAAAAAAGACACCTTACCAAGCATAGATTATTTTTTCTCGATTGCATTTCATTAGAACGAAAAATATCTACAAGCGGAAATAAAAATATTTTCATTTGACTTTGGGAGTAGTACCTGCCTATACTCTTCTTAACATGTTCTATACAGCTGAGATTGCGAAAAACTCCTCAAAAGATTACGGTATACCTTCAATAACAGCGCTCTGCTTGGTTCCCATGTTAATGGAACGCCAAGTGTTGATCAGTGACGATTTTCCTACATTTGGTATTCCGACTACCATAATCTGAAGCAAAATTACTAATCTCTATAAATAGCTATGATTTCGAGTTACCTGAAATTCAGTCTTCACACTGCGATTGAACCGGGGTTCATGAGTTAGAATGTCGAGTATCATATTTTGCATGCCTGATAATGCACGACTATATCTTCTCTTGCAGTCGGTCCAAATTATATTCGTGACACCATGTTCATGGCGATAATAATCTTCTATTGGTTGTCTAGAAGAAAAAGCCCTGTGGACGCGAAAGCTGTAGCTTCTGGCAATTCGTCGTATGGAGGGACCGGACGCCGTGCGTGCGGAGATAGTGCGTGTTTGTGAGTGAAGCAGACGACGAGAGAAATGAGAGTGCGTTCAATCCGAAAGAAGCAGACGACGTCCGCATTCGCGCCCTGTCTCTGCGTGCAATCAATCGCTTTTACTTACCTGTACTTCTTCAGATTGATAAGATCCATTTTATTCATGACCAACACATGCGGACGAATCGAGCAGAATTGCTTCATAAATGTGGAATTTCGTCCACTAACGGGAATTCTTGCATCATGGACCTGACAACAGCAATGAACACGACCAGGGCTCGGCACGAGGTGGCTTACAAGCAAGCTGGATATCGTTTTTGGGACGAAAAGCAAAGGGGGTTTCGTTTTTGTGACCGAAGAGACACGGAAAATTGGCGACGGCGACCTTTTTTTTTTAGTCGACGTTTCGTCTTTTGGGGGATTTTGGGGAATTTTTCAGGTTTTTAGAGGAAATTTGGTTGAGGGTCAAAGGGGACTTCGTAAAATTTCCCAAAAGTCAAGGGGGACTTCGTTTTTTCCATTTTCATCTAGCCACCTCGTGCCGAGCCCTGAACACGATTTTCTTCAATTTCCAGCATAATCATACATTAAATTAGATGAAATGGTACTTTCACCCTGCATGAAATGGGCCTTTCCGCGAAGTTTACCTCCTCTTCTCTCAGTTGACGGCTTTCTTTAACTCTCACTGTCTGCGTCTCTTCTGATTGACGCTTTACAGAAAAGGCGCAAAGTCCGCAATGGTGCTCTTTCCGCGCTTCAGGATACCATCAATTTTTGACTCAAGCAACGTACAAAATATTTCCATTTTGTAATTTCTCAAAAAAAATTGCCGTTGCGCACCTCCCTTCCCCCGAAAAAATCCGGAAAGCCATAGGTAATCTAGTTCTCTAAATAATATTTGAACGGCTCCATAATCCTTTAGCTCTCTTCCGCAATTAGTAAAAATCATGCCTGTTTCGAAACTGTTGCCTGAGTATCACCAAACAGATATCAAGATCAAGATTAACGTCCCTCACTTCAACAATTAGATCCACGGACCTCAGCTTTCCCTCCATTTTCTTCATTTGTACCGACATATGCATAGGAAACCATACTCGGTAATCAAAGTTCCTTGGCAGCCTGAACTCATCACGTAGATTCGGGCACGAACCAGCTAAAATAATAGGGTGCAATATTTTTTCTTTTTTTGAATTCTGCAAGGCTAGGTTAGTTGTTATAAAACTTACTCGAAGTTGATTCAAGTGTGGTAATATTCCTTACTGTTGGCAAGGCACGAGCCAGACCTCTCCTAGCAGTTTTCAAAAGGCTCATCGATTCTCTGAATCTTATTCATTAGAACTTTTTGATAAGTAAAGGTGGTTCGTAATGCATAACTTTCCGAATAATGCGCTCAGCAATACCTACATTAACTCATGGCAATACAATCTGCAACGATTTTTTAAAATCTGCATCTATCGCGCACATATCCTCAAAATCGTCGATATTATCAGATTTAAAGGCAGTGTCTCGGCAGAATTTCATTTTCCAGTTTTTTTTTAACCTTTTGGAGCCTTCTCGCCATGAAGAATTCATGTCTGGGCTTTTCAGCGCTTGAAAACAAGGAAAATAAGCTTTTTCGGAAGCTTTCCAGGTCCGCATTAAGTAACGATACGCGCGGAAGCCTTCCGCGCCCCACCTCCCTGATTCAGGGGCCCATCCACATGCACGTTCTCTACTGAATGCGGATCTAAAAAGCTTTGGAAAGGCTTATTTTCGCCGTTCTCAATGTGCTGAAAAGCCCAGATGTGGATTCCTTATGGCAACAAGGCTCCGAAAAGGTGAAAACCTGGAAAACGAAATTCTGCCGAGACACTGCCTTTGACGCCCTGTAGTCTTACAATCCAGAAACCTTTCAGGAATCTTCATTGAAAAGTTTTATTCTGGATTGTGACTTCCTCTAAAAAATCAGCAGACCAGTTTCTCTCACGAAGGATAGCTATGGAAACCCAACAATAATTCGCGCTTAAGAAATATAACGATCAATCAGGAATTTGGTATGATGCATTGAGTTCAAAATTATCACTCTCTACTTCTCTCAGCCCTTGCATTTCCTAGAAGCGATGACAAAAGAATTAGCTAGCTTACATTATGAGACACACAGGCATGCAAACTGATACTTTCCAATGTATATCTGGAGATATTCCAAAAGCATTAGCATCAGACAATAGTGGAGTAAATTTGAAGAAAGAAACTGGGTTAAAATTAGCTCGATCAAAGGAAGACTCGAAGAGATACACGAGATGATATCAATACCACAGTTGCAGAATGCGAGCATGAGCCAGGCAAAGTATGAAGTAATTCTGATAAACACCACCAAAAGAATTAACGCAAAAACTAAAATATAAAAGTTCATCTCCTCTCAAAAACAACAACTCATTCAGCACTGGCCATTATAAAACCTATCACATTATAACAACGTAACTAGTGAAAATGTACAACAATGAGAAGACAATTGAAAGATGAGGTATCAAACGGACAGATTCGATCATATCAAGGCAATCAAACTAGGGATACAATTACAGTGACTAAAACGTACAAAAATGTTTTTACAATTGGTAGATAAAGAGGTTATTCAATTAAATATTAGAATCACAGCTAAACGATAAACTCAAGAAAGAAAATAGGAAGCTAGAACGAGGACGTCACGAGTGTGAGCCGAATTCGGCATACAATGACACACTGACCCTGACAAACGATGAAAGGGCTATGTTTCGTAAAAGAGCACGTGAATTCATCGCCTACACTACGGAAGTTAGTTACAGACTTAGTGAAAAGAATGAATGTAAACTTGAATAACAGAAGACATTAAAAGCATTTCTAGGCTGAAACCAACCCTGGGTTTCATATGAGCCTAGATATCAAAAATAAGATTTAGAAATTAGCCCTACTCTAGCGCCACGGTTCCAGCAAAGGCGTAACAGGATGTGGCGAAAGTATAAGCACCTGTGTACCGCTTCTCCACAAATTAGGAATAACTTCACGCGCAGCAGGAATTGACCATGATTCGCACTAGCCCATAAAGGCAGTGTCCGAACAGATCTGGGAGCATCTTAATTTCAACAGGTTACTGCGCAGCTGGCTCTCCTGCTGTGAAATCTGCTTCTGAACACGAAAATCGTTGAAGAAGTTTCGATATAGCCGTCCCTCGATCCAGTCTAGCATTTACCGACGGAAAGCTGCCGGACACCGCACATATTTGCTGCAGCGGCGTGTCCCGCCATGCTTCCTGCTTTGACGAGAAGCAGACTGAATCGAGAGGTGGGTAATATCAACCTAAGCGATTTTTTTCGCTCTAGAAGCAGCGTCTCAGTAGCAGTCAAACTATGGCTAAAACGGAGATCCTTCTACAGTAATCCGTTGGAATTTCTAGCACCATGAGTTCGAATTGAGGTGCTTCCAAATTTGTCCGGACACTACCTATAACAAGCACGAGACATAGATCATGGTGAGCAGCACATTTGGTCAACCCCCACGACCATTGTTGAGAAACTATGAGTTTGAGAAGAGCTGAGACTAGCTAGACTTTGAGACACTAATTCTGGTACTAAAACAAGATGGGTGAGTTGGTGAAAATACATATACCAGCAAAGAGGCTGTTTGGCGTGAATTTTTCCTGAGATTAGTAGCCCACACCAGTGCTCTCTTTGACCAGCATATGATCCTCTACCCGAGTGAGATAAGTAGAACAATATGTCAATTTCAAGCAAAATGAAAAAAAGGAATAGCTTCTCGAGTAATCAAATACCATTCATATGAATGTATTTTGAAAAGAGCCCACAACAACTTTAATCGTATCCTTAGCGCCTCCCAAACGCTATGCGAGTTTTTCAGCTTCATTTCGTAGTGCGATCGCAACACGCATTTGGACATCTGAAAGCAACATTTGTACTCAATGAGATGATGATTCAGCTTAAAACTGAATACCTCAATATGAGCGTCCGAGCGATGTTCAGTTCCCAAAATATGTTCGAGATTCCTAATCAGATCGTTGGTCTTTAGAATAAGTAGCATCTGCCGGGGCATTCGATGCAGGACCTCACTGATTTGAGGGATCAAGGCGCCGACATACGACTTTAACTCCTCTACCTGAAATGATACCCAACACTGAAAACAGTTTTAGCACAAAGTAAGTAGGTACAAAAGATTTTAGCACAGTTCATCCGTATTGCGCATCTATCCATCGCGAGCGAATGGTCAGTAAGCCTCTTGACATTGGAAGAAAAAACTGTGTCAATTATAGAAAAACAAAATCTTACGCGAAGAAAAATGCTTCATATCGGGCGTAAAGGCTATAAAGGATTCACACATACCTCAGAGTTCTCCAATTTTTGATTTTTGATTCCCCGTGAAACAGCTTTCCATGATCTTCGAGCTACCATACATGCAAACAAGCCATAGAGATCGCCAACACCCATTTCTGTGGCCACTTTCTAGAACAAAATTTTGAGGGCTATTAGCGGGATAATGATGCCAAGATACCCTCAATTTATCTTGATCAGGTTTGAGCAATGCAAGCCAGAGATCTGAATAGAGTCCGCGGAACTTATCATCGATATCCTGAAATCATACAAGGAAATGTAGATGAATAAAACCAATGCCGGCCATGAACAGCTCGAATAGAATAAAGAGTGAAATAAGCAAAATGAGAACATATTTTCAAATGATATGACTTACAAGATATAGGCCATGATCCAACAAGATGATTTCTACTTTTCCGTCTTTTCTCTTGTTCACTAGAACATTGCCTGGATGTGGATCGGAATGCAAATATCCATTTAAGAATATCATTTCGGAATAGATTCTCCCTAGCTTCCGACACACCTATAAATCATTTCGTAAACAGGAAAAAGAACTGATGGTGTCAAACCCACCTCATGCCTATCAATATTATTCTTGATCATATAGTCGATATCATCAATATGTTCACCTTCACAGTATTCCATAGTCAATAACCGAGGTGTGCTGTACTCGTGATACATTTTGGGGATCTAAAGTAGTATTTCTCAGGTATTTCCGGTGTCTCGTGAAGAAATGACGTGCAAGCGCGATTGACTATAAAAGGTTTGCCAGTAATTCATTACGAGAAAGACCAAAGGTCCCACAAAATGGAAGTATTGCTCTTTATAATCAAAACAGATTTTCTTTTTACAAAAAAATACCAATGAAAGGTTACCTTCAAGAACTTCAAATGCTTGAACATCTTCGCCAAACGGTCGGCATTCCTTGCTTCGAGCATGAAGTCAAGTTCGCGGGGTAGATTCTTTCTCGTTTCCTCTACAAGCCACATTAACTTGAGCTCCGGGAATACTCTGTCCGCGACCCTCACTAAGAACTGTATAAACATATTGCTATTTGTGCACATAGTGAATTACTACTCGTGAGTCTTCAAATTTCTACCTCCATAGTGTTCATGTCGGTCCGGCTATTTTTAAAAACTCGGCGATGTTGCACTTTCACAGCTACTTTCTCGTTATTCTTCTAAATGTACCCTTTTTAGATAGATGCAGCAAATTAGTGCGAAAGCATACCCTCAGTCTTGCGATGTGGACTTGAGCAAGACTCGCAGCTCCAACGGGTTTCTCCGAAAACTCCGTAAAAATCTCCTCGAACTGAAAAAAAAATTCAAAGTGTGGCACAAACATAACGATCCACAAGATCACCTTCTTGCCAAGTTGAGTTTCGATCATGTACATTACGTCCTCTAGAGACGCTTCCGGAGCTTTGGAGGTCAGTATTGATAAAGTTGAGGTGTACTCTTTAGGGATAAGATACTCCAGTGCAGAAAGATGTTGCCCCACCTGAAATCATGAAACACCAATGACTAAATTTGTAGCTTCGTATTTGAAGATATAAAATAACGACACTAATTAACTGTCAAGTCCCGCTGCAAATGGTGTATATAGAAGATTGCAGGATATGAATGCTGCTGGGATCTTTACGCTAACCAACGCGGATGGTCTAGAAGTAGTGAGCCAGAAAAATTCAAAGTACTTATATAAAAGGCGATTGACATTCCGAGGCAATCCGAATCTATTACAGTTGCATATTTTCACTTCAGACCACCGACACTCGTGGATGTGATGACCCCAGCATCATTCACATTCTGAAGCGAATTTCTCGCTTCAGAATATGCCTTTTGCAGCGGGACTTGGGCATTACTTAGTCACAGGCCTCGCTATATTACAGCAGCAAATCTCCTTCCCCACACCTTTATATATCTATCATCGGCACCCAGTATCAGGTTCGTGGGGAGAAGTTGAGGACTTCCCTGATTTCAATGATATACTTATTGAACCTCCACGTTACAGCATTGTTTTTCGTACTCTCTCGCTGAGTTTAATCTTATAATCAGGCAAAATTCGCAACCCGCCTCCACACAAATCTGGGAGCCGATCTATGTTTTACTCCTGATGCCATTCTATCTATCTATCTATCTAATATATAAAGAAACGTAAGCGCAATTTAAAAATCTGCAAATAGCGGAAAACCGCCGGTCGCGAAGCGCGCGAATGCAATCTAGCACCTTCAATTACTGGTTCACTAGTAGCGTAAAAAACCTATAACATGAAGAAGCAAACAACAAAATTGGAAGCAACATCAATACAAACAACGTAGACGATCTTATGTTCTATCTATAATCAAAATATGCCCTTAAAATAGAAGTAATCCAACAAAGCCACGACTTAGATTTTGAAAAATACTACGTTGGCTAGAAAATAAGTTCGGTCGTTTTTGATGATTTGTAGAAATGTTATAAATCGATTTACGGAAAAATATATGGTACCATTGGAAGTAGCAAATAATGAGAATCGGATCGTCAATTCTCTTTGAGCGACAATTCTGATTTTGAAGGCGCAAATGCAGAAAATCTAACAGTCAGGTTCTTTCGTCAAATTATTGAAAAAATATGCTCCGAAAAACGAACTGATAAGATGTACAACTAGCATCCACATAACCAGTTATAAAAACTTTAACCATTTGCACCACCACAGATGATCAAAATCGGAGATCTGGATTGCCTAAACCGATGGCGGAGAATTTTGATTAACAGATATGTGAGAGTAGAGGCATGAAGCTACTTTCTCATAAAAGTCTTAGGTGAAACACAACACCCGAATCGCTATAGATTCGAAGTTGCATGTCAAACCGAACTTATTCATTAACCAACCTAATGAAAGAGATTCGCTGATGAGACTCACCTTTATGAATGCTCCACCGTTCGCCCGAGCCAGCTCAAGAAGCCTTTCCGCACTTCTCTGATGGCACTGCTTGATTGCCTCATTATATTCTTCCGAAGGATCATAGAGTCCCCACAGTGACGATTTGTAATCGACTATGATCTTCGCAACCTGGAATGCAGTGAACATACTGGCTGCATGTTGGTCACCAAAGTGAACAGATTGAGATGGACGTAGGTAGATGATGAAAGCCAATGAAAAATCAAGGACTTTTCCATTAGATGCCTTCATTTATAAGATTGAAACTCACAGCACATGCTGCCCTTCCAAATCGAATCGCTCCTATTTGTCGCACGTCCTCGAGCGAATCGACAGACCGGTACAAAGCTACTCCGCTACCAACAAAAAGGGATGTGCCACCGTAGACCAACAGCTGCAACTTCACGATCAGCTAGCTGACAGTCATTTCGATAAATATGTAAACTGGAATCAATGTAAAGTACCAAATTTCTAGGCAACTCACACATAATTTTAAGAAAAACGGTTTAGGAATGGACTGATACTCAAGCTGCACAGTGAGCATGAGCGTAAATCAAAAAGATGATAGTAGATATGTATAATTTCACAAACAAATTTTCTTCCGAATGGGTGGCTTTGCTACAGAATACTTGAACTAACACCGGTAAGCGAAAAAAAGCTCATCCGACATTTCGCCCGGATAATGCCGTCACTGTTGAAATTCACATGCTTTGGTCAATTTTCCTATCTCACTCCTCACATTAATAATAAAAAAAAATTTGCCTTGCATTCATTTGCCCACGAGAATGATGCTTAGCCAAAACCTCACGAAAGGTATTCTAGTGATATGTTAGCTCACAAGAGAGGTCCTATTAGTCGATGTGGCCTTTCCAAATGATCCCATACCACTTTGAAGAGCCTTAGACGCTGATACCGGATCCGATTTCATTATATGCCAAGCGTCCCTGCATGCCGAGTTATGAATGTTTTTGGTGCGAGAAATGAACGCATAATAAAGTCAAATCAAATGTTGCAGTCTTTTCAGCGCTCAAACAGAGCAGTGTAGTACGAGTTTCTTGGACAAACGGTATTCAGATTGACTGTTTTAACAATTAACATTGGACCATTCCAGCAATTCTGATGAGTTGTTCCAATTACGCATTTAATAAAAACGCTCATAACTCTGCGTCCAGCGCTTGGCAGATAACGAAGACATTTTGGGAATCAGCGTTCGATGCTGTTCTAAGTCGTATCAGTTTTATGCTAAAAGGCCACTTTGACCATATGGACCTCCCTTGTTAGTGCCACTGCCAATCTTGACAGTACCGCCAACGAAAGTGTAGGTAGCCAAATATAACGTTTACATCAACTCATGCTCTGCATCCAACAGCGAACTGTAGAGTACGATGGATATGGTAAAGGTCATATGGAGGTTTTTGGAAAGTCGAAAGAAGAGGTCTACTATATTTGGGCAATACTCAATCGAAAACCAGTTTTTAATAGTTCACTTGCATGTTTAGCAGAATCCTTGGAGGCATGCACTGCGACCCAGAAACTTCATAAAGCATGACTTGTCACAAAGCAGAAACCGCACTTCTGTGCTCATTTATCCGATCAACTTTTAACGTTTAAAATTAAAAAGTGCTTGATTCAGAAGTGTGTTTAAATCAATGCGATTCGTAATGTGATAACAACAACAGCTATTTTGTTAAAAACGTAAAAGAACTCACTGCCAAAAAGGATGAAAAAGGGGAAAATGCTTGAAAAACAAAAACTCTGAAAGTTCTATCGCGCACCTTTTTGCGAAACGACCATCCCTTGGCGGATGCCATGATCCGAGGAGCGGAAGACATTTCGTGCAGAAGCTGATCTTCTTTAGCTGGTCAGTACCGAAGAAGCTCAACGATCCAACCCGATCATCATTTTTTGTTGTTGTCTACGGCCAGTCGCGACTGTCGCACGAGGTCGTACGCAATTGCGTATCTGAGCAAAAACCGACATTTTTTGGATGACTGCGCGACATTCCTCCCAGACTTCGAGACTATTGGATAGGTCAACAACGATAAAATACAAGAAAGAAGTAAAAAACAGACAAAAACATAAGCCTCGTTTGTAAGTATAGTAAAGTCACTCCACTAGTCGCCCGGTGGTAGAACTCAAATTTGAATTAGGGCAGGCCTGTGCTAGAGCGCAGCACATCAGCCCTCAGTTCAATCTTACACATAATTTCTTTCCGTTCTTCTTCATATTGACTGAGGTTTCTTGTGTTTCAACATTGTTCGGTGTTGTAGTTGATCAATTTGTTGTTTACAACGTTTCATACTGCTATGTTTGTTTTTCAACTTTGAGTTTCTAAATGAACTTGGAGAAACGATGGTTGTCAGGTATTCTTGCTTGTTCTTTTTGCTGATTAAGGTGCGCTTTAGATGCATTACATCTAAATCAGCTGCACTGTTTTTCTGGGTTTACATGGAATCAGAGTTGAAAAGAGCGAGCATAGCAGTCTGAGAAATCGCAGCGTAACAAAAACGTAGCTTAATAACGAACGTTATCAAAACACAAGAAACAGCAGTCAACCAGAGCGAAAACACAAAGAAAACATGTGCAAAATCAAATCGAATTCTGAGTATGCCGCGCTCTAGTGCAATCGCTCTGCCCCAGTTCAAATTCGAATTCATCTACCAGGCGACTAGTGAGGTGAGGAGGCTGCACGTTAGGGTTGTTTCATACTGGCGCACTGACTGCAGCAGTCTGCACTGACCGCAGCAGACTGCAGCAGACTGCAGCTGACCGCACTGACCGCAGCGGCTGAAGCCTGCAGGCGGAGAGGATAAATAGTTTTGGTTTAAACAAACAACAACAATATATACGTAAAAGCGAAAAACAACAAGGTTTAGAATGTTACAAAACATTTATATGCAGTGATAGGAAGAATTAGAACAAATACGAACATACCAAAGAAAACTATCGCCAAAATTTGATTGAGAAGAATTCTGATGGAAATTCTGATGGAACTTATGACCTTCTTATGCGCAAATCACGCTGTTTTGATAATCACGGTTGTTTTTTCGGCGCTATTCCAGTATACCGACCCCAAAAATTGAAAATCTCGGATTTCGCTCAAACTCGGTATAGGGGGTTATTCGATACGCTGATGCCGAATATCATATCGATTTCGTGTGGTAGCGCCATTTTCTGGGGGTTACGGTGGGCATACGGTAGGGGGTCAAAACTTCTGTGCCGATTAAATTCACTGTCACGATTTTTTCTAATTTCTCAATTAAAATTGCTTTTCCCCCTCTAAGTTTATATGAGCACTTCATACAACTCATTCTGAAAACCCTGAATATCTTCCCTGAATTTTTGTAAAGGTGGCCCTAATGAGGGCCTTTGGGACAGCATATGTTTTCAGCAGGGAACCGGGTACAATTCGGCTACCTGCTTCCAGAAGTGAAACAGGGACTCTTCCCGCTTGCCGAAAAATTATATTATTTTGGCAATGTCACGTTAATCGGCACAGAAGTTTTGACCCCCTACCGTATACCCACCGTAACCCCGGAATGAGGAGCTACCGTAACGAATGAGTATCGTATTCGTGTTCAGCATGTCAAATAACCCCCCTGCACCGAGTTTCAGAGAATTTTGTGATTTTGACCCCCTACCGTATACCCACCGTAACCCCGGAATGAGGAGCTACCGTAACGAATGAGTATCGTATTCGTGTTCAGCATGTCAAATAACCCTCCTGCACCGAGTTTCAGAGAATTTTGTGATTTTGACCCCCTACCGTTTACCCACCGTAACCCCCAGAAAATGGCGCTACCACACGAAATCGATATGATATTCGGCATCAGCGTATCGAATAACCCCCCTATACCGAGTTTGAGCGAAATCCGAGATTTTTAATTTTTGGGGTCGGTATACTGGAATAGTACCGTTTTTTCTTTTAAGAAAAGAGGCTGCGACCGGTGCGGTCAGTGTGGTCAGTGCGGTCAGCTGCAGTCAGCTGCAGTCTGCTGCAGTCTGTTGCAGTCTGCTGCAGTCAGTGCAGTCAGCTGCAGTCTGCTGCAGTCTGCTGCAGTCAGCGCGGCAGTCTGAAACAACCCTTACACTTGGGACCGAATCGAATGATTATCCATCATTCGAATAAATCATTCGAATGCGAATGATTCGAAAAGATGAATAGTCGAAAATCTGAGATTTCGATTCGAAAGTCGAGTATTCGAAATTTTCAGTTTTTAAATATATTCGATATCCGAATATTCAAAAATCTCAACTTTCGAATATTATCGAAAGTCGAATATTCGATGGTCATCAATTCGGTCATTCGATGTATCGAATATTATCGATTCGAATATTCGAATATTCGATGACCGTCGAATGATGGAACCCCATAAGGCTTGATACATACCTAGCGTCGGGTGTCTATACGTGGCGGTGGCAGCAATGCGATTTGTGCGTATTGATTGCAGCGGAGTGACGCTGCTGCCTCCCGCTGCAGCAGCTAACATGGAAGGTCGTGTCCATACCTAGCGAGTCATTTTTGAGCAGCGTTGCGCAACGCTGCTCAAGCTGAACAGCGCTGCAACAGCACGTATTGTTGGAGTTTCTATCAAGCTACAGTCTGTACAATAATCATGATGCGCCATTTCTGTCGCAGTATGTAGCTGTCATCGATTTTTCGCTATCCAGCGACGCCAGGACTGATGGTTTTCTCCAACAGCGTCTATCACTTTCTTCATGAGCGTCGTTGTGTAAACTTTGCAACTTAAACTTAGACTTCAAACTTCTAGAAACACCGTAACACGGTTTTATGACTCCAAAGTGGAAAAGTGAAAATGAGTACCGTATTCGTGATCAGCGCAGCAAATAAACCTCTGGACCAAGGTTTTACAAGATTTCAAAATTTTGTAGATACCGGCGCATCACGATACCCTCCCTCCCCCATCATTCCTGCTGAAAGTACGAGCAAAATGCACTCCGGATGATTTTTTTAGCCTCTCTTTTTGTACACTATTTCTCTTTCTCTGACCATAGTTAGGGTTATCCATGAGGTTCCACGATAGACTGTAAGGCGCACGAAACTCGGAGTTATCGCAAAGCACAGCTGCGCGTTTGGTGGTGCTGTTTTTTGTGCAGAACGATTTCGACGATGTTCTCCTATTAGGAGTAAATTACCGGTTACGGAGTCTTGTGCCATATCATCGCTTTCTACATTTGGTTCATTCAAGCACTTGTTGGGGGGTAAGAAAGATGTGGTTAGCTCAGATATAGCTCAGAGTTGAGTCGGAATAACTGGGAGTTTCGACCAGATTACTACCGACCCTGGACTTTTTTGATGTGTTGAAGTGTTGAGTACCTTTTAAAAAGCACCAAAGCTTAGGACTTTTTGACTTGACTTCTATTAAAGGCAATGTCCGGGCAAAAATTCGATTCTGAGATTCCGTGTTTAACCGGGCCTATCCGCTATGCTGAATCCAAGAATCCGCACTCGAGAGCGCAAAAACGGCGAAAAGGGGGGCCTGAAGGTGATGGAAATTATCAGGTGGGCGGGGTATTCCCCATAAATCCACGGATGGTGGATCCACGCTCCCAGTTTCGGAGCGGTCTTGCCGGTTCCTTCAAGTCACCTTTCGCACTTGGCCGATGGCGATATCAGGAAGGCTAGCGAAATCGCTTCGGGAGCTGGGAGCGTGAAATCATCGTGGGAAAGACCCCGCTCCCTGCTGATTTCCTTCCTGCGTTAGAGCCTTTTTTTGCCGTTTAGACGCTCTCCTGTGTGGGTTTTCGGACACCCAGAATAACGAATAGGCCCGGGTAAGCACAAAATCTCCAAATCGACTTCCTGCCCGGACACTGCCTCTAAGAGCCTGAGGTCTAGTGAGGAGACGGTCAAGAGGCGCGATTTTTCTGGCTGTCACCAAATCAAAACTCCAGCGTGCTATGGGAGTGTTCAAAAAATGCCAGACAAAGTCCTTAGACTCACTAGCCGTTTGGTGCAACCACTTGATAAGTTTGACGACTTTTGCTAAAAAACTGACCGGAATATTTACAAAATTGCTATCAACTTCATTTTCATGAGTTTTCGACCCTCAACAACTTTGTTTGGAGTCGATCTCAAAATGATCAGATCGAACAATCTGTGCAATTATGTAATCTATCTCTTTTGAAGTTTCAAATAATCCTAGGACTTTATAAAGCACTAGATATGTGCTATATGCTGCCCATCTGGCAATAATCGAGCCTCTTGAAATACACCGGTCTAGTGCACGCTGATACAACGCATTCGGAAAAGACGATGGATGTGAACGTGAACGTGGAAATGTTCGTGATATCGTCGCAACGTTACTTCCACTCGACATCGTAAATTGAGGGCGTATCCAAGGTAATTGCACTAGTGACGAAGAACTAGTGTTGGGTCAAGAAGTTCGTCGTTTGTTGTAGTGTGAGAACAGGGATATTTTAGAACCAGTCATCTTATATATAAAGCTGAATGTCTGTTTGTATGTATGTCTGTCTGTATGTATGTATGTTACGAATAGAAAATTCCATTTCTGAACCGACGGACCAAACTTGGCACACATACACTTCGGGCCCCGGCGGGTGTCATAGGCTGCTTTTCGTCATCGATCAATATCGATTTTATCGATTTTTGTCGATTTTTTTGCAGAGTTCACCTACGGGGCTGGGAGTTGGCAGACCCATAAGCATGAACTCCATTCCATGCAAAATACTTGAAAAGATTTTACGAGACAAACTCCTTGATTGGTTCGATAAGTTCAAACTCATACCACCTGAACAACATGGGTTTAGAAAGGTGCATCTACGGTAACTCAACTGTTGGACTGACTTATGATTAGATCAATGCTGTTCTTGATGAGAAGAAAGTCGATGTGATATATTTTGACTTATCCAAGGCTTTTGATCGCATAAGCCATGAAAAACTGTTGTACAAACTCAACCACTATGGCGTCAGAGGAGATTT